CATCTCAACCAAGCCTTCACGAAGCGCATAACGCCAACCCCTCCATCGCCGTGAAGTAATGCCTAACGGCGGTTTCCGCGGGGGTGGAACAAAGGGAACCCGACGCGGATGTATTTACATAGTCTATGTACCCTTAAGCAATATGTTTAATTTTCACGTCTACTGATACATTTAACCTAATGTAAACTTCTACTTCTACTTTCTGCTCAATAAAATATATTAATACATCCTAAAAAAAAAAAAAAAAAAAAAAAAAAAAAAAAAAAAACACACACACACACACACACACAGCCTTCGTTGGTCTAGTGGGTAAAGGCGTTGGGCCATCTATCTGCTAAACCTAACGCTGTGCTGAGGGAGCGAGTTCGATCCCCATTGAGCGAAATTTCATTCGTGATTTTTCGCTCGGTGAGGTCGAGCCCGAGCCCGAAGTGGTTCGGATTCCACTATAAACTGTAGGTCCACGGCTGTAAGCAGCCTCCTGGAGGGTGAAATATCCCCCAATCACCCTGCGGCCCAAGTTGAGAAGAATTCCCGCAAGATGGAGCCCGAAATCAGAACTTCTAGTGCTGGCGCTGACCGACGGAGTTTACACTCATCATGGAGGAATCCAGACGCCAGCACAAGAAAGAGCACCGACCCCTCGACTCCAAGTTTGAATCCTCAGAGATGGAGCCCGAAATCAGAACTTCTAGTGCTGGCGCTGACCGACGGAGTTTACACTCATCATGGAGGAATCCAGACTCCAGCACAAGGAAGAGCACCGAATCTCGGCTCCAAGCTTGAATACTTAGGGATGGAGCCCGATATCAGAACTTCTAGTGCTGGCGCTGGCCGACGGAGTTTACACTCATCATGGAGGAATCCAGGAAAAAGCGAGAGGTGCTCGCAAGAAGCGGAGATGCTGGACGGTGTCGGACGTGGGGACGCCATAGTCCAGCTTACGGCGAAGTTCTGACGAACATACCTAAAGAAGAAACATCAGCACAAGGGAGAACACCGACAAAGACGGCTCCGGAAGGCGGGAATGACGCTGGATGAGGGCTTCGCGGGGCGAGCGGGGGATCACCAACGAGTTGACACGGTTCCTGAACCCCTGATCACTGCGCCTTGGCGTGCGGTGGATGGGGGATGTAGGGAAATGACCAAATACGTCGATGCAGCAGTACTGCTAAAAGGCACCCACCGAAGTAATATCTAACGATGGTTCCGGTGGGAATCATGCCAGAGTTCGGAAGGGCCACTGGTGCAAGGGTTTACCCTGCCNCCATGTGTCGGATGCCTCCAAAAAAAAAAAAAAAAAAAAAACACACACACACATATACGAATCGATTCACGACTCATCACCAACATCACATGCTGCAGCCTGGAAATAAACGGTTACCGTTTATTCACGTATACTATTGCGGTGGGCACAGCGTAGCACGTAGGCCGTCTGAGACGGCATCGTAACTTTTTAAACCGAGTTCTAAATTCACTCGGCAACATCGGACGTTGAACTCACTAAAAGATTGTACACAATATCACACAACTGTTACTGATGCACAGCTCGTATTCACACGCCATTATACGAATGTGAAAGCAGACGCATACTGGAATGCACACTACACAAACAAATAGATCGAACGACGATGCTCGGCTGACGGTTACTCGAAGGGACTCACACACGCACAAAACAATCAATGCGCGAACAGCCGAGCAACCGGCGAGCACGATAGACGCGCGTGTCGCTTTTTTTTCCGTGTATCCATCTAAAACTCACACGCTTTTTATTGTGTGGACATTAACAAAATACTGAAACATTTCCTCAATACTACTGATGATTAAAAGCATCTCAAGACCTATCTTTAAGCCCCCTAGGGCCCTTATAGGTGCCTCAGAGCCAAATCTACAGCCAAATTAAAAATATAATCATTAATGAAGTTGAAAACTAGAATCGCGATTTCGAGGTTAGTTATACTAAAGTGCCCTTTATTGCCCCCAAATCCCAAAAAAAAGTTTGAAAACATCGTGTTCAACGTATTTTTCGACGAGAAAACCAATGGTGACCTTGGATTCGACCTTGAACATGACCTCTAAGCTACAGCGAATCAAAATTGATTTTCCGTACGGTGACCCCCATTTTTTATTGCAGATTTGAAAAGAGCGGAAAATTTCACATTTGAATACACCTTAAGTGGTTTTTTTTAAGGTCCATATACATTCTTAGACGTATTTAGATGCGCTTAATCGATTTTTTGAGGTTGATTTTAATAAAAAATGTCATTTTAAAAGTATCTTGTAAACTATTAAGGAGATATAAAAGTCAGCCAAAATATCAAAATTTTAATCCAGTTTTCTAAAACTTCTACTGAATATTTCTCGAAAATGCTTTATGGCAACTCATTTTGATGTTCTTAAGGTCGCCATAGAGCCTTTTGGCAAAATATTCAGTTGAAATTTCAAAAGCTAGATTAAAATTTTGATATTAAATTTACAAATTGTACTCTACGGTATAAAAATAATATGAAGTTCTTAACTACAAACTCGTTGAAAGAGTGAAATAAGTTCAGATAATCTTTGAAGAAGTAAGTTTTCAAATTAATGTGTTATTTTGGAACATTTTATTGATAGTAAGGCACAAACATAGATAAATTTATTAATATAGAATTATAAGAAGCCATTATTGTAATATAATTACTCGAGTACTTCGGGTATATATGATAAAGTAGTTTAATAATACAGATAATTTTCTGTTTTTTGGAGTTTTAATATTCCGAACTATTTGTAACTGTACTGTGTTTAGCTCTAAACAACTACAGTACATACATACAGTACATACATGCGGTACATACAGTAGTCGCCGCTTAATAGAATCACACTGGGAAAACATTTTTTATTCTATTAAGCGGCTGATTCTATTATACAATGACTAATAAAATAATTTCAAAAACACAAAATTAAAAATTGAAATAAATCATTTACTGTACTTATTATGTTTACAAAAGATGATGTAACAATTTAAATTTTTGTAAAATAATCGTCAATATAGTTTTGCTTTTTTCTTGTATCGATAATAGCTGAAACAAATTTTTTCAAATTTATAATATTCTTCAAAAGAATCAGCATAATTTTGAACGCCGCGTCGCAATACTTGTAGTGCGTTAAACATTTCAGTGCTGGTAGGTGCAGGTTCAAAATTATCATCATCTTCATCTTCTGATTCGGTTTGAATTGCTTCTTGGCATATATCATCGTCCGTTGGTTTTACAGATGTTTGTAAATTTTCGTCAATATTTATCCACTCATCGAATTCTTCGTTCGGCATGTCTTGTGGATAAATTTCAATTGAATCGACGTTGCTAACGTTGCTCGGAATGTCTTTGGCGTCTTTCACGAATCCAGCCTTTCTATAACAATTTTTTATTGTTTCGCTGGACACGTAAGACCAAGCTTGATTCACTTGATGCAATCCGTCTAGCAAAGATGTCTTCTTGGCAATGTCATTGGCTATGACATTTTGTTCTCTATCTAAAATTTTTATTATGCGAAGTCTCATTTCTCTCCGATAATAAGCTTTCAACATACGGATTATCCCTTGATCGCAAGGCTGAATTAAAGATCTAGCAGGAAGATATACTACTTTAATGTTTTTCAATGATTGCAAACTTGAATGAGCGGCGCAATTGTCGACCATCAGTAAAATTTTCCGTTTCAACTGCTTATCCCAATTTTAAAGCCATTCGGAAAAAATATCTCTTGTCATCCACGCATTCTTGTTTGCTGTGTATGTTGTAGGTAATTTTTTGACATTCTTAAAGCAGCGAGGATTTTTAAATGTTCCGATAGTTAAAAGATCTTTTTTTTCACCTGACATGCTGGCACAACACAATACTGTAATACGCTGCTTGCTAATTTTAAATTCATTCGTATTTTCAGATTTTAAAGCGTACGTGTGCTCTGGTAAAGCACGAAAATATAAACCAGTCTCATCTGCATTAAAAATATCATTTGGTCTGTACTCTTTATGTAATTTCGGCCATTCATTGGTTAACCAGTGATTCGCTCCTATCGTATCAGCCTCGCCTTGCTCGCCATGTATCTTGCGGTAAACAATGTTTTCTCGGCTGCGCCAGCGTGATAACCATCCATCGGTAGCCTTAAAATTTTTCTTACCCAACTTCTCCGCCAAAGTTTCAGCTTTGATTTTTAATAATGGACCATTTATTGGAGCCTTTTTTTCTCTCACTTTCACAAACCATTTTTTTAAGACTTTTTCTACATCTTCATCTTTACCAGATTTTTTCCTTTTACGGCTGAGATTTTCATCTGAGGAGGAGGCACTTTCTATTTCATAACGATTTTTCAATACTCTACTAAGTGTAGCTTGTGAAATATTTAAGCGTAGTGCTGCTTCCCGTTGCGACATTAGGGAGGCATTAGGCAGCGAATCAAAGCTTTTTAATAAAGTCTTTTTATCTTGCACACTTATTCCTCGTCGTTGTGACATGTTGTAGCTTGCTTGCTTAGTTGACACTAACAATAATACTGAACGTAAATTTCAAATATAACTCAAATAACTGAACGTAAACATTGATTTGACCTAAATTTTCTATTCTATTAACCGAAAAGTTGATTCACTTAAGCGGTAAATAATACATGTACAATAGGGTGGTCCACTTTTTCAAAAATTTTTTTAATCTTGGGGGATCCAACGGAATCTGAAAGTTTAAGGTTTAAAATGAATTTTCCCGTAAAGTAGAGCTAAAAAAAAATGATTTTAGATGGTGTCGATGGATTTTTGAAGTTTTTTTTTTGACGTAAAAAAATCGCAGCCGACAGGAGGCACTTCGATAGTTTGCCAGATTTTCTATAAAGCCATAATGGGTTTTGTGAATACATTTTCTTTTGTATTTTTTGCCGTAGAATCGAATGCCATCATTAGTTTTGGGCTATAAAAACGATTTCAGTGAAAAAATTGCGATTTTTGAATTTTTTTCTGTTGAAAAATCGAAAAATTCGTCTTTTCACGTCTGGCAAATGAACAAAAAAAATCGTAGAAGCTTTTAATCTACGGATTTAGTTAGGAAATTTCATAACGAATCGAAGCCCGTCGTCGGTTTTTGCCTACAAAATTATTTTAAGTCATAAAATTGCGATTTTCCGTAGCTATGATTACGAAAAAAATCGAAAGATGCGCCTTTTAGCGTGTTATAACATACACTGAATGTAGTTGTGAGCATTTTAACATGGTTTTTAATGGGATTTTTGGCGTAGAATCGAATGGCGTTGTTACTTTTACGCTACAAATCCATTTTCAACGAGAATTCGCTCCTTTTTGAATTTTTAAACATGAAAAATGACCATTAAGCGCCAGAAAATCAACTAAATAGTCTAGTAAGTATTCAAACATGTTATTTGTCGGGATTTTTTTCGTGGTATCGAATTTTGTTGTTACTTTTACTCTTTTAATTCATTTTCAGCAACAAACCCTCCCAAGTTTTAGAATTAGATAATAATATTTATAATAATAAAACAAAGTTTTTTAACCCACCTAGGAATAGTAATTATAAAATTGAATACTCTGAACGATATGAGGAGGAGCGGTTCGAGGTGAAGGTAGGAGCATAACGAATTTTTGGTTTCTCTAAAATTCGTGTTAAGTCGCATCGATTAACGATGACTACATATTTGTTAATTAATCAAACAAGGATTTAGTATAATTACAATCGAACTTCACTTACACTGTAAGTTTGTTTGATTTTCAATTTTAATTTAAAAAATATTATAGTCGCATGCTCTAATGCCACATTGCTCTTACAAATTATTTGGTATATCCGACCTGCTAGTAGTTTTCCTAAGTCAAACCATTTATTCAATACTTTCATCGTTATTTCCTTTTCTATATCACCATTGTGAAGCCATATATGAGACATTCAGTGAAATTCCTTATTTAACTTGAAAATACATGCGTCATGATATCAAAATTAAACATTATATATTACTCTGTTTTCATTGTGTATTGAATTGTGACTCAATTTTTAATTTTGGAAAATTTCAATTTACCTTATTTTCAGATAAGATCATTAATCCGCAGCATACTTGCATCATAGAAAAAAATGTGCATTAAAAAATACACTGCACCAAAATGATGCTGTTAATACTATCCTGTTTCATTTCCAAAATAAACCTCAGTACCTATTTATAGAATAGTATCAATAAGTATACTTATATAATTGTAGAGTAAAAAATAAGATATTTACCAAGCTAGGAATTGGAATCATAAGAAACAAATTCAATATTAGCCGACCAATTATTTTCATACTTTTGTTTTGTAATGGATGTAAAAAAGTAGTTTTTATGACTTTTGAGACACTATCTGATACACAAGCAGTCAAGGATCGATTCAGATTTTCCTTATTTTCGATATTGAAGTCTATATGAGACAGCATTATCAAGGGAATTAAAAAAAATTATCTGGAATTCAAATCAAAAAATGTAACTTGACGAATTTATGTTTATTCTGAAGCAATGAGTACAACGAAAATTTTTAAATCCTTGGAGAGCTACGCGATATGTGAATTCATTACTCTATTGTATAGTACTTCACGAACGTTTTTTGTTTGTAAGGTAAAATCAATACGACGTAATGTATATTCTTTAATAATTAACGAAAGGTGAGAAGTTATTTGGAATAAAAGGTCATTTTTATTGAATCAAAAAGAATTTCAAATAAATAAATATTTTTAAACTTAATTACATCAAACATTAGTGTCGGAAGCCTTTGCAAAAATGCGCAATCAGCGCGGGTTCACGAGCTCTGCCGTGCCGACCGTTACGCGAGCGCCACAGAAGGTTCGCTGTGCGGGCCTCTCTCCTTCTTCTCGCACGCTCGGCGCCCCCCCCTTATGTCTGAGATTCAGTTCAGTGCCTAACCGCCTAGAGAGCAGAGCTCCTATACTTTTGTACTCACAACCTTAAAACGATTTTCCTTTTATAATAAACGCACATAGTGCTTTACATTAAACTCGTGTTTAATATTGTTTATTGTAACTCCTATCACCTTTAGCCACAGTAATTACAATAGGTTATGGGCCCAGCACGCTTAATTTCACTCGCGGATTTTCCTAAACAAGCACTTACAATAACTGAAGTTACGGGCCTGACAGACTCGCAAGGTCCCCCGTCAGAGCTTGGGAGGGAGTCGTTGCAAAAATCCGTCGAGACGGTTTCGAATGAACACGCGATTAAACGAAAAATTTTAGATTTAAATGATATTGTCCCCGACTCAGATTTAGATCACCTAATAGAAAATAAAATAGAATCAAATAAAATCAAGTTTGCTAAACCTCCTTCACTAGGAATGCTGTGGCACATGAGATTGGGCCACGCATCTCTGGAATATTTAAGACAACTTCAAAAGAGAGAAGAAAAATTGAAGGATGTCAAATTTAGCAAAGAGATTCTAGACTGCGAGACTTGTATTATGGCAAAAATGGAGAGTCTTCCTTTTAAAAATAATAGGAAAAGATCAGACAGGTGCCTACATACAATACATACGGATACAATGGGTCCAATTTCCCCTTCCTCATTCCCCGACAATAATAGATTCATAATAGCATTTATAGACGATCATTCTCGATACGCGAAAGTTTACTGTGTTAGAAATAAATTTGAATCGGGCGATAGTCTAGAGAGCTACTTAAAACACGTGAGAAATCTATCGGATAAAAATGAGAATGTCTGTTACATAAGAGCAGACAACGGTACCGAGTTTACGGGCGGAAAGTTCGCTGAGATTATGGAAAAAGAAGGAATAAGCAAAGATTTTGCTCCCCCATACACCCCTGAGCTGAACGGGACCGCCGAAAGATTCAATAAAACGATTCAAAAGAAAATAAGAGCTCTTATGATAGACTCGGGATTACCACAATCAATGTGGTCGGTAGCGGCAGAAGCAGCCACTTACATCTATAATAGAACCCCACATAAGGGTTTAGAATTTAAAACCCCACTATCTATTATAAATGAAAATAAAGACAGTCACATCACTGAACTTAAAAGATTCGGATGTCTCAGCTATGTCAAAATCCCGATAGCACAAAATAAGTTCTCAGAGAGAGCTGTTAAAGCTTTCCTAGTAGGTTACTCTTCGACGGGCTACTTACTCTGGCATCCACAAACAAATAGATTCTTGAACTCTAGACACGTGAGATGCAATGAAAAGATAGTATACCGCGATAGATTAATCACAAACACTGAGAATAATTACGAGAATACTGACGCGATCGAACAATTTACTATTGAATCGGACCCAATTGAATTCGTAAGTCAATCAGAAACAAATAAAGTAGTTCAAAGCAACATTGATTCAAATATTGAGACTGCAGTCCCTCAAATACCTAAAAATACCCGAAAACGAAAACCTGAGTGCGTTCCAAAAGTATTACCGGAACGAAGAGCAAAGAAAATCAAGCTCCAACACCCAGATTTCGTATATAGAATCAAACAAATAGATTACTTGCCTTCAGACATCGAGATTCATGCTAATTTGGCTGAGGTGAACAGAGATCCAGTAAGCTATAAGCAAGCCATGGAATCAGCTCAAAAGGCTGAATGGTTGAATGCGATCAATGAAGAATTAAAATCTATGAAAGAGAATAAAGTCTGGAACATAATAGATAAACCAGAAAGAAACTCTGATGGAAGCAAGCTTAATCTTATAGATTCTAAATGGGTATTCAAGAGAAAAACAGACGAATTTGGCAATCAAAAATTCAAGGCTAGATTGGTGATTCGAGGTTTCAAAGATAAGAATACCTATGAACTGAAAGAAACATATGCTCCCGTATCTAGATTAGCCACGATTAGGACAGCTTTAGCAGTCATAAATAAGCTAAATTTAGACGCAGTTCAACTGGACGTCAAAACTGCATTCCTAAACGGGCAACTAGAAGACGAGATATATATGGAGATTCCCGATGGCCTTGAAGTAGAATCCTTACCCAACAAGCGCAGAGTCTGCAAACTTTTAAAAACTATTTACGGTTTAAAAACGAGTCCTAAAATCTGGAATCGAAGATTCACGACTGAAGTAAATAAACTAGGTCTTGAAAGAGACATAAATGAGCCCTGTCTCTTTACATGGAGAAAACAAGGCAAAGTTGCAATACTAGTACTCTATGTTGACGACATAATCCTAGCTAGCAACTGTAAAGAAAAACTGACAAACATCAAAGATAATTTGTGTAAAACATTCGAGATGAAAGATCTTGGAGAGCCACGGAAATATCTTGGAATGGAGATTACTCGTAATCGTGCAGAGAATACGATGATTCTAACTCAAAGAGATTACACAATCAAAGTACTCGAGAGATTCAAAATGCATGAGAGTAAAGCACAGAGTACCCCGATGGTAACTCGACAAGTCAAGAATAAAGAATCCAAGATAGAAGAATACGTGCCATTAGAGAATCAAAACTTCAGAGCAGCTATAGGTAGCTTGATGTA